ATGAAACTGTAAGTGAATGGCAAAAAAAAACAAAACAAAACAAAACAAAACAAAACAAAAAAAAACCCAAAAAAACCCAAAAACAAAAACAAAAACAAAAAACACTGCAGGAACACAGTTTAAATTAAAGAAAAAATTAGACAGTTTCCACAATTAAATGATATTGCCAATATGACATACTGGAACTTATGGGACACAATGAAACAGTACCATCAGAGAAATGTATAGTAGTGAATACCCATATCAGAAAAACAGAGTAAATGCAAATAAACAACCTAATGCTAAAACTGAAGCTTCTAGAAAAAGAAGAGCAAGTCAAGGCCAAACCTGACTTGTGGAAGAAAATGATAAAGATGAGAGCAGAAATTAATGCAATGGAGACTAGGAAGATGATACAATGAATCAAAGAGTTGGTTCTCTGAAAGATTAAATCAAATTGACAAACCCTTAGTCAAGCTTATCAAAAAGAGGAAAGACTCAAATCCATGCAATTACGAATGAAAGTGGTGAAATTATAACAGATCCTGCAGAAATCCAGAAGATCATCAATGCCTACTTCAAGCACCTGTAACCTATGTAATGGAAAATACAGAGGAAATGGATGGATTCCTAGATACATATGAATTTCCAAAGCTGAATCAAGAAGATATAAAAATTCTAAATAACCCAATATCAGTGAATGAAATTGAAGATGTAATTTAAAAAATACCAACAAAGAAAAGCTCTGGTCTTGATGGATTCAATGATGAATTCTATAAGAAATTTAGAGACGGTCTAATGTCCCTACTCCTTAAACTCTTTAATGAAATTGAAAAGGACACAATACTCTCAAACTCATTCCTGGAATAAAGCATTGCCCTGATACCAAAATCAGAGAAGGACCCAATCAAAAAAGAGAATTATAATCCAATTTCCCTAATGAACATAGCCACAAAAATCCTCAGTAAGATATCGGCAAATGGAATGCAGCATATCATCAAAAAGATTATATACCATGACCAAGTAGGGTTCATCCCAGGGATGCAGACGGTACAACATATGCAAATCAATAAATGTAATACACCATATTAACAGAACCAAGGACAAAACCTACATGATTATCTCAATAGATGCAGGAAAATCATATGACAAAGTGCAAAACCCATTCATGATAAAAAAAAAAAACTCAGAAAGTTGGAATAGATGGTTTTTATCTCAATCTGATAAAAGCTATCTATAACAAGCCCACAGTTAACATCATGCTAAATGGTCAAAAATTGTAAGCTTTTACTCTAAAATCAGGAACAAGACAAAGATATCCACTATCACCACTCCTGTTCAATATAGTTCTGGCAGCATTAGCCAGTGAGAACAATTAGACAAGAGAAAGAAAGAAAAGTAATATGGATAGGAAAGGAAGAAGTTAAACTGTCATTATTGCAGATGACATGATATAGAAGACCCAAGAAACTCTGCCAAAAGACTCCTAGGTTTAATAGCTAAACTCAGTAACATAGCTGGATACAAAATCAACACTCAAAAGTCAGTAGCTTTCCTATACATAAATAACAAACTCAGATAGAGAGAAACTAGGGAAATCACCATTTATAGAAGCATAAAAAATGAAATACTGAAGAATCAATCTAATGAAGGAAGAGAAAGACTTTCACATTGAAAACTACAGTACTCAGAAAAAGAAGATCAAAGAAGATATCAGAAAATGGAACGGTATCCCTTGCTCATGGGTAGGAAGAACCAATATAGTAAAAATAGCCATACTCCCAAAATTATTATACAGATTTAATGAATCCTGATCAAAATACCAATAGCATACCTCACAGAATTAGACAAAACAGTCCTAAAGTTCATTTGGAATGAGAGGAGAGCTAGACTAGATCCCTGGGCAATGAAAGGATTCTGGGCAACAAAGGCAAGGCAGGAGGTATCACAATCCCTGACCTGAAATTGTACTACAAAGCTACAGGAATAAAAACAGCATGGTACTGGAAAAAATGCAAATAAAAGAACAGATCTGAGGATTAATGGAATAGATTTGAAAATGCAGAAACATCTACAAATGTACTTAGCCACCTTATTTTTGACAAAGGAGCCAAACACCTTCACTGAAAGAAAGATAGCCTCTTTGGTAAGTGGTGCTGAAAAAACTAGCTTTCTACATCTTAAAGATTAAACCTAGAGCCATGTCTTTCACTATGCACTAAACTAAAACTGAAGTAGATCAAAGACCTAAATATTAAAACAGAAACACTAAATCTGCTAGAAGATAGAATAGGTGGGACTATCGAAGACATTGATGGAGGCCAAGATTTAATGGACAGAACCCCAATCATACAGGAAATATTACAAAGAATCACCAACTGGGATTGTATGTTATTAAACAGCTTTTGGACAGGAAATGAAACCACCAACAGAGTGAAGAGACAAGCCACAGTGGGGGAAAAATTGTTACCAGCTGTTCCTCAGACAAAGGAGTACTATCTAGAATATACAAAGAACTCAAAAAAATCAGACTCCTCAAATTTAAAGATCTAATCTAAAAACGGGCATCTGAAAGGAATAGACATTTCTCAGGTGACGAAGTAGGAACAGCAAATAAATCTATGAGCAAATGTTCAACATCACTGGTCATTTGAGAGATGCAAATTAAAATAATGCTGAGATTCTATCTCATCCTAGAAAGAATGCCTATTATTAAGAAATCAACCAATAACAAATGCTGTCAGGGCTGAGGGGAAAAAGGAACCCTTCTCCATTATTGGTGGGAGTGTAGACTGGTGCAACCACTGTGGAAATCAGTGTGGAGATTCCTCAAAAAAACTAGGACTACAGATTGTATTTGACTGAGCCGTTCCCCTTCTTGGTATCTTCCTGAAAGAATTAAAAGCATCATATCACAGCAATACATGCACACCCATGTTTATAGGAGCACGATTTGTAATAGCTAATTCTTGGAAACAGCCCAATGCCCATCAATGGATGAATGGAAAAAGAAAGTGTGGTTTTTCTGTACAATGGAATACTATGCTGCCATAAAGAAGAATAAATTTGAGATATTTTTAGGTATATGGATGCAAATTTTAAGTAAAATAACTCAGACACACATGTTTAAATATCACATTGTTTCTCTGGTGTGATAGACTGAAAGCATAAATAAGGACTAAAGTGTATAATAGATATTAGGAAATAGGAAAAAATGTTCAAATGGGAAGGGGAATAAGGGAGTGGAGGAGGGGAAAGGAAGAAAGGAGAAAGGAGAGACTAGAAGGAAAGGCAGAAACAAAGCTTTTGTAGATAAGGGGAGAGAGGGTTGAAGGGAAGGCAGGGGGTTGGGGAAAAAAGAAGAATGAAGATGTAGTATGTACAGGTCCAAATCCCTTATGATTAAAATGACCATTTTGTAAATCTAAAGAGTACCAATAGCACTAATTAACAAAAATTAGTTACCTCTCCTCTCTTCCCTGATCCATATAGCAGAAATGGGACTTATTCATTGTTAATGAATCACTTGCTATTTTTGAAAGAATAACACTTAGTGAATCTAGGAAAAAAGCCATCTCCATGGTGTGTTCTTCCTGATCAGTTAAAGAACATCAGTTTGTCTTTTTTTAAAATACTTGTAGCTCATAGCCAGGTGACGATATGCCATCCTATCTTCCCCATTTCCAGTAACGTAAGCCAAATTTTAAGATATTTCCTAAATACTCTGCCATTGTGACGAATACCTTCACTCATGGGACTTCGTTCATTATACCTTTAGGCTGGAGCCCTGAAAGTTAGCCAGGATGTTTTAAAGCAACTCTTCTTCGAAAGAACTCCTCTCTCTTTTTAAAACATGCTTTGCAATGAATTTGGGACAAATTAACAGCAATAATTCACACAACTAAAGTGTGAAAGGTCATCCTCTCAATGCTAAGCCTAAGACAATATGACTGAAGAAGGTGAAATTCACGTATTTCCGCCAAACCATGGGTCAGGCCCACGGGAGTATCAGTCTAGCGTTTAGAGCAGCAGCAGGGTCACGTGAGTGGAGTCGCTATCCACGGAACTGTGCGAGCTCCCTTTCTTTCTCTCTTCTGTGGATGGGCATTGCTACCCGGTTGCAGCCGCACTGGACTGGCAGTGCTGGAAGCTCGGCCCTCAAGGTCATTTCGGCAGTTGCTGGAGGTGGGATTCCATAGACAACCAGGGCAAGTTCTAGATGAGGTGTCACCCAGGTTCAGGAAGCTCAGTAAAACAGAGTTAGAGTAAATGAGACATGGGGTTTGGTTAACCTGGCTGAGGACGATGTCCTGTTAAGCAGCTTCAGTCACCAGTCACCGGCGTTACCATAGCAGTGAGAACCACAGCTCACTCACTGTTCATCCTTCCCTTCGACAAATATTTATCAAATACAGCTGTGTTCCAGATACTAAGCCGTGGGAACAGAGCAATGGGATAAAATCACAAAATGGGATCAGATCACTGCCTTTCCGAGGCTACTTTCTAGTGGGGCAGGTGGATGATAAGCAAGATAAATGATTAAGATATTTAGGACATCAGTAATCACTGCTAAAGAAAAAACAAAAGTATGCAGGAAAGAAGGTGAAAAGTGGAGATGGAAGCTTCAGTTAGGGTTTCTGGGGGAAATTCCACTGGGAAAGTGACTTGGGAGACAACACTTAAAGGACACTAAAGGCCTGCAACCTGGGTACCTGGGAAGAGCACTGCAGAAAGCGGTCAGAGGAGGAGCAAAGGCCCTGGGGCAGGAATGGGGCAGGATTGGGGCAGGGGTGTGCAAGTGTTGTCGGGAGGCTGGTGGGGCAGGAAGAAAGGGAGATGTGATCAGAGAGGTGGCTTCCTAGGCCATCAGAAAGAGATTTAGAGTTTTACTCTGACCAGAACCAGAACCACTAGAGGCTTTGGAGTGGAGGAGTTGTAAGATTTTAAGTGGAAACATAATGTGGCTTGCACTGTGACAGTTCCTCTCTGCTTTGAGAACAGATGGGAGGGGTGGGGGAGGGGAGGAAGGTCAGCGCCTCGGAGTGGGGCCGCTGGGAGGTGCTTAGGCCATGAGGACTCCGACCTGGTGAGTAGGATCTGTGCCCTTGTAACCCAGCCTGAGCGGGCAGGGTCCTCCCTCGGCCATGTGCGGATGCGGCTCCTGAGAGGGCGGAGAACGAATCCCTACAGACTGAATCGCTTAGCTCCTGCGTTTCGCATTCGCGGCTCTCCAGAGTGGTGAGAACCAAATATCTATTGTTTAGAAATTACCCAGGCTCTGGTATTTTTTGATGCAGCAAGAATGGGCCGAGGCAGGAAGGGCAGGAGGCAAAGCGGATGGCAGAGGCAGGAGGCTGGGAAGAGGCTTATTTGTGGTGTAAGCAGGCAAAGAGAATAGGGATCCGTGCAGGCTGGCGGTGAGAGGTGGACGACGGTTGAGTCTGCTTTGAAGATGGAACCAGGCGAGTTTGCTGACAGAGCAGCTGAGGGGTGGGAGAGAGGAGTAGCCAGGGAGGACACGGAGGGCTTGCTCTTCAAGGGGGCCGTGTGGGAGGCTGCGCAGGAGACCAGCTGCGCTGGTTCGGCGAGGCACACTGTTGGCCACCCGAGTGGAGAGTTCAGTCCGGCAGCTGGACAGACAGATCCAAAAGCAAAGGAGTGGAAGGGCGGAAAGCGTAGACTTGGGAGCCGCGGTCATGCAGACAGTAGGTAAAGTCACTAGACTTGAGTTTATCTCAAGCATGAGCTTAGATGGAAAAGATGACCATGAAGGGCAGACCAACAACAAAGCAAAAACAAACAAAAAACTAAGCTCTAAAGCAAAACAAAAGCAAACAAACAAAACCCCAGTACTTTTCCTGCGCGTGTAGGTTTGTTAGCTGACATGTGTGAGCATTTTCATGCTTCTGCGAGGTCTCGGCTCTGCGTCCGCTGCAGCGTAAGCGGCGATCCACCTCACCGTCTGGTGGGTCCGGTGCGCAGCACAGGCTCACAGCCAGCACGGAGATCAGAACCGCGGGGATAAATCTGACACCCGAAGTAAATTTCTACCCCAGATCCCTAAGTCCGAAGTCTTGGAATTCAAAACCATAGCTGATAAAATCACTCAAGTACAATAATATTTGTATAAGCCGAACATTAAAATGTAAAATAATTGGATATCTATCTAATCTCTCTCCAGGGATTTAGCAGCTGCTACCATCTGACCTTGATTATTTTTTTCACAGAGCTTCACCTAGGCTGACTCTAAATGACTAATGACTGGATTTTTATGAATGTGTTAATTTTAATCATATATATATAATTATATCCTTAACTTAAATCACATATGACTTGAAACGGTATAGATAATACTCGAGCATTCATAAATATGTGAATATTTAGAAAATGTAGATATTAATTGTGAATGCAAAAAATGTAAAGTACACATATCAGGATGGGTTATAAAAATCAGAGATTCAAAGTAAACCTCACTTGGGGGGTACCGATTGAGGTTACCCAAGAAATCAAAAACTAATTGATTAATTCAGAGCCAATAAATCAAACAGCCCTCATTTAATAGACAAAGTCGAGCTCCAGAAGGCGGTGTGTGCCCCTAGATAACCCGCAGCTTCCGCCAGTCCAGTGAAGGACATCCTGACTGCGGAAGTAGTGTGTGATCTATATTCCTGGGAAGAAATAGGGGGGGGGGAAATAATAATAATAGAGAAAGTAGAGAAAAAAATAAACCCATGGTATTGAAAACTTTGCAGCCTATGTCAGTGTAAATTTACTGATCAGTTCTTTATTCACTTAAAATGATGTAAAATTAATGTACTAGATTTCTAGAGTAGAATCAATGCTCTTGGAAAAAAATATTTACGTGCTTGTGGAACTAACGTGCTTGCCTTGAGTTTTTCATTAAACTGTTTGCAATAAGGGAATGTATACTTGGAAGACATTCAAAGTTTAGAGTAAGGAAATAAAGCAACTGCTGAGCATTTCTCCCATCAACAAGTCCCTCGGTCACGGGCTGGAGAGCACATGTTTCCATGGACAGGGTTCCCTGCGCATTTTTAGCACAAATGCTCCTTTCTGATGTCACAGGGCCTGAGTGAAGGTCCCAGCTAAACGGTTTTCTCCCTGGGGGTGTGCAGCAAGCAGGTTCCCGAAGACCCCAGGAGGAATCAGTCCAAACACTGCGACCGTTATTTACCCGAACGGGGGCTCGGCAGCTGGGTGCTTCATGTTATGCAAATGGCCTCTCGCTCTGGGAAGAAAGGCCCAAGCGCTGGCACTCGCGAGGCAAACGTTCTCTGCTGCGGGAGAGGGGCCAGCAAAAGAGAAACCAGCCAGGTGTGAGCGGACGGTGCAGGGCAGGACCAGAAGCTTCTTCCAAAGCAGAAACTGCTGAAGGCAGACTCTGCCTGCTGGGGACTGTTCCACACTCGCAGCCCCAGCAAACAACAGATGCAACGTATTTCCTCTCTTCCGCGTCCTTCCTCTGGGTGAATTCATTTGTAAAACACTTCCTGTGTGAAAGTTATGGAAAGGTACACAGGGAAGGCAGTAGCTAAAAAGCTCTAGGGGCTAAGAGAAGAATGATGAAGCTTGACAGATCTGTGCAGGAGGGAGTCGCAGTTCTACAGCTTTCTGGCTTTGAATACTGAGACTCTCAATTGCTCTTGCGTCTCAGTTTCCTCTTCTGTGAAATGGGCACCATAGGACTAGCTCATAGTAGGACCTATAGTGAGATTTGTTAGATACCTTTCTGTGCCTCTACTATGTGGCAGTAACTGGTTGCTATCAAAGCTGACAATTCAATTATTCAGTTTCTCAAAACTCAAAGTATGGCATTTCCTGGGAGTCTGGGGATCTAGAGGTTGTAGGAAGCCCGAAGAAATAACCCTGTAAGCACCCAACCTCCTAAGGCTTGTCCATTCAACAAGGAACACTGACACTGTTCAGAAGCAGGGCTCTTTCCATCCAGTTATAAGAGCTGTGGGTGAAACCGACTAGTTAAAAGAGCCTCCGTAAGGCTGCTTAGTACTTACAGGCTCTGACGTCCTTCTCTCTTCAGTTACCCATGTGTGCAAGGTAAAAAGCTGTCATTTAGAAGGAAGATCCGTGAGCCTTCCCTGCTGCTCCAAACCTTATTTTGTACCCATACATAAAATGTTGGCTCACTTTCAAGCTTTTATAATACTGTCTGTATTTTTGTGAGGCTTGAGGCTGGATATTAGGTTTTGAAGTTCATGTTATAGATCCTCTGTTTTCAATGCTGTATAATATTCTCCAATGTGACTATTTCACAGCGTATTATGCAGTCTTCCACTGATGCAAAGCTGAAGCTTTGCTTTCACGTTAGCGTTTTGCTGTCTTGTGTTTCAGTTGCTTTTCTTTTTCTTTTTTTTTGGTACCGGGAATTGAACTCAGGACCTTGTGCTTGGTAGGCAGGCGCTGTGCTGCTGAGCTATAGCCCTGGCCCTTTGTGTTTCAGTTTTATACTATTACACATTATGCTGCCACAAGCATCCTTGTACAGGTCTCCTATTCTGAGCTACTCTAGCATGTGAGCCTTGAGCTGGATTGCTGGAATGTAAGGCATTGAACTGGACAAGCTTTTCTCTGTAGGAAGCAGTAATTTAGACTCAAGCACACATCCACGAAAAACACAACAAGCAAAAGTCTTGACCTTCATGTGCTTACATTTGAATGATGCTGGGAGACCGACAGTAAGCCAAATAAACTGGAAATTCTTTCTGTGGGAAGCTGCTAAGTATTATGGAGAACACTGGAACAGGAATGGCAAGAGGAAGCATGGGGACAGTTTCCAAATTTTAATCGGGTGGCTGGGGAGAGCAGAGCGCTGGTCAGGTAACCTGGGAACAGGTTTGAAAGAGATGCGACCCAGATCATGTGGGTGTGGCAGGGAGAGTGTCTCAGAGTATGCAGATCCTTAACTCTATTAGATGATGCAAAATGTTTTTCCAGAATGGTTGTGTCTGCCTGGGCTGCCCCCTGCAGGTGCCCAGTTCCTGGGCTCTGGACCCTTGCTGCCCCTTGACTTTGCCGGATGTTTTATATTCTGGAAATCTGATTGAGCAGGCTTGGATTCCTGTGATTTTACTTCGAGTTTTCTTATCATGAAAGGTTTGAGCATCTTTTCACAGGTTTGTAGGGGTATCACTGTTTCCCCTTGTATGCACTACCTCTTCAACTCTTTTCCCTACTTTTATGTTTTCTACCTTTCTTATTATATTCCAGCTTTCTGTTCTTGGATTATTAATCCTTTATCAATCATATGTGTCACTAATATATTGTGTCTTTGTGGCTTATTATTTCACTTTAGTTGCTGTGCTTTTGGATAAAGACTACCTTAATTTTCATATATTTAAATCTCTATAATGACTATTGGCTTTTGTCTAATTAAAAAAAGTAATACACATTTCTCTATTCTTAGGGTAGAAAAATATATATTCTACTGTATCTTCTGCTAAACAGTTTTTTTCACATTTAAGTGTATTTGTAATTTATTTCTACATATATATGAAGTCAGGTCCATCTAATTTTGTCATATGTGAATTTCATAGCACCATATATTAAAAAGCCCATCATTTCCCCACCAAGTTTTAATATAACTTTTACCACAGATCAAGTTTGTATACAGTGTTTTGCTTTTTTACTAGGATTTCTATTCTGTACATTGGTATCTTTGTCTAACACTATGCCAAGACTATTCTTTCTTTCTTTTTTTTTTTTTTTCCAGTACCGGGAATCAAACTCTTGACCTCAGGCTTGCCAGGCAAGTGCTTACACTGCTGAGCTACATTCCCAGCCCCAAGGCTATTCTTTCTTAATTGGTGCAAATTTTTAAAAATTGTAGGTCTCTGGTCAGGCTAATCTTCTCACCTTTTTTTTTTTCTTTAGGAGCATCTTGGATATTCTAAATCCATGCTCTTCTGTGTAACTTAAAAATCAGTTTGGTAAATTCTTCCAGAAAAAAAGTTGAAGTTTTTTTCAGAATTTCTACGAGTCAGAATTTAAAAGTCACTTCAGAGAGAAATGACATCTTTGAAGCACTGAATCCCCTACACATACCCTTTA